TGGATGACTTTTTGGTGGTAATAGAGGTCTTCCTCTACTCGGATTTGGCTGTCGATTTTTTTCTACACTTTTAGGTGTATTTTTTGCAAGAATTTACAATAAAATCGTCTGCCTAAGAAAATTGAATTTTATTGGAAATTTTTTTTTGGACCTGGATGACTTTTTGGTGGTAATAGAGGTCTTCCTCTACTCGGATTTGGCTGTCGATTTTTTTCTACACTTTTAGGTGTATTTTTTGCAAGAATTTACAATAAAATCGTCTGCCTAAGAAAAATTGAATTTTATTGGAAATTTTTTTTTGGACCTGGATGACTTTTTGGTGGTAATAGAGGTCTTCCTCTACTCGGATTTGGCTGTCGATTTTTTTCTACACTTTTAGGTGTATTTTTTGCAAGAATTTACAATAAAATCGTCTGCCTAAGAAAAATTGAATTTTATTGGAAATTTTTTTTTGGACCTGGATGACTTTTTGGTGGTAATAGAGGTCTTCCTCTACTCGGATTTGGCTGTCGATTTTTTTCTACACTTTTAGGTGTATTTTTTGCAAGAATTTACAATAAAATCGTCTGCCTAAGGAAAATTGAATTTTTTTGGAAATTTTTTTTTGGACCTGGATGACTTTTTGGTGGTAATAGAGGTCTTCCTCTACTCGGATTTGGCTGTCGATTTTTTTCTACACTTTTAGGTGTATTTTTTGCAAGAATTTACAATAAAATCGTCTGCCTAAGAAAAATTGAATTTTATTGGAAATTTTTTTTTTGTCGTGGATGACTTTTTGGTGGTAATAGAGGTCTTCCTCTACTCGGATTTGGCTGTCGATTTTTTTCTACACTTTTAGGTGTATTTTTTGCAAGAATTTACAATAAAATCGTCTGCCTAAGGAAAATTGAATTTTATTGGAAATTTTTTTTTGTCGTGGATGACTTTTTGGTGGTAATAGAGGTCTTCCTCTACTCGGATTTGGCTGTCGATTTTTTTCTACACTTTTAGGTGTATTTTTTGCAAGAATTTACAATAAAATCGTCTGCCTAAGAAAAATTGAATTTTATTGGAAATTTTTTTTTGGACCTGGATGACTTTTTGGTGGTAATAGAGGTCTTCCTCTACTCGGATTTGGCTGTCGATTTTTTTCTACACTTTTAGGTGTATTTTTTGCAAGAATTTACAATAAAATCGTCTGCCTAAGAAAAATTGAATTTTATTGGAAATTTTTTTTTTGTCGTGGATGACTTTTTGGTGGTAATAGAGGTCTTCCTCTACTCGGATTTGGCTGTCGATTTTTTTCTACACTTTTAGGTGTATTTTTTGCAAGAATTTACAATAAAATCGTCTGCCTAAGAAAAATTGAATTTTATTGGAAATTTTTTTTTGGACCTGGATGACTTTTTGGTGGTAATAGAGGTCTTCCTCTACTCGGATTTGGCTGTCGATTTTTTTCTACACTTTTAGGTGTATTTTTTGCAAGAATTTACAATAAAATCGTCTGCCTAAGGAAAATTGAATTTTTTTGGAAATTTTTTTTTGGACCTGGATGACTTTTTGGTGGTAATAGAGGTCTTCCTCTACTCGGATTTGGCTGTCGATTTTTTTCTACACTTTTAGGTGTATTTTTTGCAAGAATTTACAATAAAATCGTCTGCCTAAGGAAAATTGAATTTTTTGGAAATTTTTTTTTGGACCTGGATGACTTTTTGGTGGTAATAGAGGTCTTCCTCTACTCGGATTTGGCTGTCGATTTTTTTCTACACTTTTAGGTGTATTTTTTGCAAGAATTTACAATAAAATCGTCTGCCTAAGAAAAATTGAATTTTATTGGAAATTTTTTTTTTGTCGTGGATGACTTTTTGGTGGTAATAGAGGTCTTCCTCTACTCGGATTTGGCTGTCGATTTTTTTCTACACTTTTAGGTGTATTTTTTGCAAGAATTTACAATAAAATCGTCTGCCTAAGAAAAATTGAATTTTATTGGAAATTTTTTTTTGGACCTGGATGACTTTTTGGTGGTAATAGAGGTCTTCCTCTACTCGGATTTGGCTGTCGATTTTTTTCTACACTTTTAGGTGTATTTTTTGCAAGAATTTACAATAAAATCGTCTGCCTAAGAAAAATTGAATTTTATTGGAAATTTTTTTTTTGTCGTGGATGACTTTTTGGTGGTAATAGAGGTCTTCCTCTACTCGGATTTGGCTGTCGATTTTTTTCTACACTTTTAGGTGTATTTTTTGCAAGAATTTACAATAAAATCGTCTGCCTAAGAAAAATTGAATTTTATTGGAAATTTTTTTTTTGTCGTGGATGACTTTTTGGTGGTAATAGAGGTCTTCCTCTACTCGGATTTGGCTGTCGATTTTTTTCTACACTTTTAGGTGTATTTTTTGCAAGAATTTACAATAAAATCGTCTGCCTAAGAAAAATTGAATTTTATTGGAAATTTTTTTTTGGACCTGGATGACTTTTTGGTGGTAATAGAGGTCTTCCTCTACTCGGATTTGGCTGTCGATTTTTTTCTACACTTTTAGGTGTATTTTTTGCAAGAATTTACAATAAAATCGTCTGCCTAAGAAAAATTGAATTTTATTGGAAATTTTTTTTTTGGACCTGGATGACTTTTTGGTGGTAATAGAGGTCTTCCTCTACTCGGATTTGGCTGTCGATTTTTTTCTACACTTTTAGGTGTATTTTTTGCAAGAATTTACAATAAAATCGTCTGCCTAAGAAAAATTGAATTTTATTGGAAATTTTTTTTTGGACCTGGA